GGAAAAGGGGATTCCTAGTCAGTTGTACAACCTAATGCATTCAACTGAAATGTGTCTTCTGCATTTAACCCAACCCCTCTGAATCAGAAAGGTGAAGAGGGCTGCCTTAATTGACATCCATGGCGCCTGTGAACAGTGGGTTAACTGCCTTGCTCAGGAGCAGAACAACAGATTTTTACCTTGTCAGCTCTGGGATTCGATCCAGCAACCTTTCGGTTACTGGCCCAACGCTCCTACCCGCCAGGCTATCTAATGTGACTCCACTGGTTGAATAAAGGATAAATTAATTAATTAAAAAGGTGAAAAAGGGGCCAGTTGTCATTTGAAATATTGACAGTTGACATTTAGATTTGTATAGTGTTCTGAAAGTGAGCGCAGCAGGCCTCTTTTCTTCACATTGATGGGTTTCCCCATGCAGTATTCATAAATCTGTCACAATGACACACACACACACACACACACACGGCAACACAGTATCACTGGCTTTATCGTTGCACAGTACCAAAGTGGCTGAGCAGCTCTCTCCCCAGAAATGAGGTTAAACGCCCACTTATGTAAATAATTCAAAGCAATGAGCATCATACTAGGAACAAGAGTTATAAACCATGAGGGTGTTGTCCTAAAGCAGGCTAGATCCTCCTATACTGTGTGCTGTGGGACAAGTAGAGGGATTACAATGAAACATGTAAGCAAACATGAACATGAGGAAAATGATCCAATCGGTGTATTCATAAGGTATTGCATGTAAGGAATCCTCAAGTGTGAAAATATACATATTCCTTATTCCATTGTTTTATATTTAATATACACTGAGTTTACAAAACATTAGGAACACCTTACTAATATTGAGTTGCAGCCCCTTTTGCCCTCAGAACAGCCTAAATTCGTTGAGGAATTGACTTCTACAAGGTGTCAAAAACGTTCCTCAGGGATGCTGGCCCATGTTGACTCCAATGCTTCCCACAGTTGTGTCAAGTTGGCTGGATGTCCTTTGGGTTGTGGACCATTCTTGATACAAACAGGAAATTGTTGAGCGTGAAAACACAGCAGCATTGCAGTTCTTGAAGACAAACCGGTGCGCCTGGCTCCTACTACCATATCCTGTTCAAAGGCACTTCAATCTTTTGTCTTGTCCATTCACCCTCTGAATGGCACACATACACAATCCATGTCTCAATTGTCTTAAGGCTTAAAAATCCTTCTTTAACCTGTCTCCTCCCGTTCATGTACACTGATCGAAGTGGATTTAACAAGTGACATCAATAAGGGATCATAGCTTTCACCTGGTAAGTCTATTTCATGGAAAGGGCAGGTGTTCCTAATATTTTGTAAACTCCGTGAACAGAGCAGCATTGAGGCTGTTCTGAGGTCAAAAGGGGGTGCAACTCAATATTAGGAAGGTGTTCCTAATGTTTTGTACACTGAAATAAAGTAGAAAACATATTCACAGTTTATTCCTTTATTCTGTTACAAAAAGCATGATGACTTTCTTCAGAGACACTTTGGTTAGAAAACGTTTATTTCTGTCTTTTTTTCTAATTAATTAATGATCTCCATGTATTTTATAAATGTTTTATTCAGCAACATCTTTCAGTACTGATGTATAGAAAAACAAACTGGGAGGTTTTCAGGTGAACAAACTAAATAATCACTTTATATCCTTGTATTAAAATAGTTTGAAAAAAAAGAAAAACTGAAGAAAAAAAGTAAAATGGTGTTCAATCTTAAACACCTAAAAAAACACCAACTGGACATCACTTTTATCAAAATGTCAATTAAATAAATAATATTGACTTCAGTTTTACTTTTAATTGGTTAAAACATTATTGTCTACCCATTATTCAACATCTGTTTTTTCTACAATTTTTCAGTGTGAAACACACTTTTTTGTAGCTCTCAAAGTTTCCATATGATACAAACATTGAATGTATTTTTAAAAATCTGTTAGGGCATATAAAACACCTCCATCTCTGAGACAAAAACGTCCGCCAAGACTCACATTGTGCTTTGCCTTCATCAATACAACACCAAAGAACTAAACGAGAAGAGAGGAAGAACTACAGGAGAAGAGAGGGAGAACTACAGGAGAAGAGAGGGAGAACTACAGGAGAAGAGAGGGAGAACTACAGGAGAAGAGAGGGAGAACTACAGGAGAAGAGAGGAAGAACTACAGGAGAAGAGAGGAGAACTACAGGAGAAGAGAGGAAGAACTACAGGAGAAGAGAGGAAGAACTACAGGAGAAGAGAGGGAAGAACTACAGGAGAAGAGAGGAGAACTACAGGAGAAGAGAGGGAGAACTACAGGAGAAGAGAGGGAGAACTACAGGAGACGAGAGGAAGAACTACAGGAGAAGAGAGGGAGAACTACAGGAGAAGAGAGGAAGAACTACAGGAGAAGAGAGGGAAGAACTACAGGAGAAGAGAGGGAGAACTACAGGAGAAGAGAGGGAGAACTACAGGAGAAGAGAGGAAGAACTACAGGAGAAGAGAGGGAGAAACTAAGGAAGAAGAGAGGGAGAACTACAGGAGAAGAGAGGAAGAACTACGGAGAAGGAGAGGGAGAGGAGAACTACAGGAAGAAGAGAGGGGAAAACTACAGGAGAAGAGAGGAAGAACTACAGGAGAAGAGAGGAAGAACTACAGGAGAAGAGAGGGAGAACTACAGGAGAAGAGAGGAAGAACTACAAGAGAAGAGAGGAAGAACTACAGGAGAAGAGAGGAAGAACTACAGGAGAAGAGAGGAATAACTACAGGAGAAGACATGAAGAACTACAGGAAAACAAGAAGAAATTAAGCATCAAACAGAGTCAGGTACAGAGAGGCAGATTGGGTCAGAGAAGGAAAGAACAAGTTTCACTGCAGTAGAGGAGAATAATCAAACATTTTATGTACATAGTGGATGGAGAGATGAGATATATTTGATGTATGCAGTCTATCTCTGCCCAGTATGTGTCTTCACTGTCAAACATGTTCAAGAGTGAAAGGTTGTTCCATGATTAGCGCTATGGCTATGGCAGAAACATAGCCTGTGTTGAACGCTATCTTTATGGCAGAGACCCACGCAAACAGAGCCAGAGCTGAAGAGTGTAGCTAGCAAATGTTCCCTTTGTAGCTGTAGGCAGGCTGTCTCTTATTCTGATTCCAATATCCTAACAAGGCTTCTCTCTGCTGCCAGCCCTATAGGCTACAGCAACATGTACAATGACCTAAACATCAAACGATACTGAACAACCTCTGTCATAAAATAACAAACTACTGAGAGAGAGAGAAACAAGACGGGTTGCCATGTTGGTAGCCAGCGTTTCCATGGTTTCTATTAACGATCGCCGACGGCTGATTGACTGTGAACGTGTAAATCAAGCAGGGGTTTCTGTGTGTAAGTCACGCCCCCTTCCTCTGTCAGTTAGCCTGTGTTCCAAAATGGCTACTCTCTCTCTACAAAATAATAGTGGAGCCACTAATAAATCAATGGTGTTAATCTGTGGTACTTTGTCAAGTTCTGACCATGTCAGTCAATACCTCCTCACTTCCGAATCTAGCCATACCAATCATTCTAGGTAGTTTGATAACGTGACAGTGTATGTGTGTGTGTGTATATATATATGTTTGTGTGTGTGTATATATATATGTGTGTGTGTCTGTCAACCACAGACACACAAGGCATGGTGTAGCAGCAAAGCATGTTTGTTGAGGAGAACACGACACAGCTAGTTAAGCATCAATTTACATGTCTTTCACCTGTGAGATCAGGACAAATTAAATCAATACCTATACAGGGATCAGTCTCTGTGGGAATGACTGTCAGCAGATGGTTCAGAGAGGCCAGGGATGACTGAGCTCTGTGCATGATTATTCATGTCTGTATTATAAGATTGCATTGGTGCTTGATATGCTTGTGTTCCAGTTCATGATGCCTTTCCAACATAGCGTGTGTAACTGTGTCCAAAAACACACGAGAGAGAAACCAGAGCCACACAAATATCAAATCACCATAATAATCAGTCAGCGTTATTATCATTACTGTCTTTTAACTGTGCAAAGACTAAAAGAAACCCCCACTTTGTTATCCGTCATCACTAAGTAAATGGTTAGAGAGAGTAGGTAGTGAACTGAGATATTACAGACAGACAGACAGTAGTCAAGAGAACGGCCACAGCTCAGGTCAGAGAAGAGCAGGTCAGACAAGGTCAGGTCAGGGCAGACAAGGTCAGGTCAGGGCAGACAAGGTCAGGTCAGGTCAGACAAGGTCAGGTCAGGTCAGGGCAGACAAGGTCAGGTCAGGGCAGGTCAGGGCAGACAAGGTCAGGGTAGGGCAGGTCAGGGCAGACAAGGTCAGGTCAGGTCAGGGCAGGTCAGGGCAGACAAGGTCAGGTCAGGGCAGACAAGGTCAGGTCAGGTCAGACAAGGTCAGGTCAGGGCAGACAAGGTCAGGTCAGGGCAGACAAGGTCAGGTCAGGGCAGACAAGGTCAGGTCAGGTCAGACAAGGTCAGGGTAGGGCAGGTCAGGGCAGACAAGGTCAGGTCAGGTCAGGGCAGACAAGGTCAGGTCAGGGCAGGTCAGGGCAGACAAGGTCAGGGTAGGGCAGGTCAGGGCAGACAAGGTCAGGTCAGGTCAGGGCAGACAAGGTCAGGGTAGGGCAGGTCAGGGCAGACAAGGTCAGGTCAGGGCAGACAAGGTCAGGCGGCATTTACGGGATAGTTCTCTCTTTTTTTACACAGAAATGAACACCTTTTTCAAAGGATCATAATAAAAAACATCATTTTTGCAGCAACATGTTCCTCATCTTATTTTTTTCCTTGTTCATAGTGAGTGATTTCAGAGTGCATTTGGCAGTATTATTGAAGTCTGTCTCGGACGCACAGCACGCAGCCGCCACACAAACAAATGGTTCAGAAAGAGGGCCATGTTCATCAGTTCAATGTCACCATTAATGTGTCCATCTTTGTTAGGTCTATGAGTGAGTCTCCTGCTCAGCCCCTTGTGTCAGGTCATGTGATCA